TCATCAACACCTACATTTACATTTGTTTGGCTTAAAGAAATGGAACTCAAGTACTCCTTTCATTATCGAGAATGAAGGACATGACAATATCATTTATCATTTCAACTACTTCGAGAATTGATGCTAATAATGCCCCATCCTAAAAAAAAGAACAATTATTCATAGTCTCTAATATGTTTGGATAAGTTAAGTATAATATACTCTTGATAAGAGAACTTGTGTCAAGTATCTAGAATTCGAGTGGAATCTCAACATCACTAACTTCATCAATCCTCTGACGCAACGTTTCATCTCCGACTTTAATTATCCAATCAAAAAAAGTATGTGTGTCTCTATCTGTACAAAAGGACGTAGATGAATGCAGTCTCATATTCTTTGTCAACATAAAAACTTTATAATAAGACCATAATTTTGAGGAATTGACCACAAAACCAATAGTTTTCTCTCTCGAAGCCCTGGGTGAAATTGAAATGATTTAGCGAAAGTCACCTTCGAGTGTGTTGTCCTTCCACTAAGCAATAACAATGCCGCAATGCCACTAGATGCAACATTCAAAACAACCTTAATATTCGATCTTAGGAAAGCAGATACTAATTTCGAGAAGAATGTTTTTTCATTTCCCTCGTAATCATACACAAACAATATTCTTTCAAATGTCATGACTTCCTTTATTTCGTTGTGTATCATCCTCTGGTGTTTATTCATTGTAGATAAATATTATACTCCATCTGTCCCCATTTTTATTACAATTTTATTTTCTCTTTCTCTTCTCCATAATTTTTGTTTGTTTTTCTCTTTTCGTTGATTATTTGATATAACAAAATATTTTGTCACATCTTGTTTTGAAGAACTTTTAAGGGAAAAGAGAAGTTTATTTAGGGACAAAGAAAAAACGAAAGAGAAACTTTATTTAGGGACAGAGGGAGTATTTCCATTAATATGACTCTAAAATGAGTACTTTTAGTAAGAAATCCAAAAGGAGGGCTAGTAATATCACAAATATAATTACTATTTTTAATAAAGTTAATTATTTATCGAAAAAAATCTATAAATTTGAATTTATGTAAATGTTTAATGTATCTGTACGTGCAAAAAAGGCATTACATTAAAAGGGGAAAAAGGTGATAAACAGGAAAATTAATCTAAGTCGACCATTATACTCTTCGTCTAAATAAATTTACGGATTAACTATCACAAAGTTTGAGAAAAATAAAAATCTATAATTGAAAGTGATGAGGAGGAGAGAAAAATATTGTGAGCCGTTCAAAAATTTCGATACAAAGAAAGTGGACACCTTTTTAGACGTCTCAAAAATGAAATAGTAAGAAATTTTGTTAGGACGGAGGGAGTAGTCCGTATGTCATTTACTCGTAAAATATACGTACGAGGATGACACATCGGCTAAATAATTGCGAGAATATAATGTAAAAACAATTGTTGTTTTTTTAATATTCCAAAGTATAATATAACTATCTTTATTTTAAGATTTAATCATTATACATTAGTCATTATTCAAATAAATGTTCGCTATTACTGGACATTATAGACATTATTAAGTGCTATTTAGAAAATAAAACAGTTTAAATGTTATTAAGAGAAATGACTTAAGTTTTAGTGTTATTTAGTGCAAATATTTCTTTTAATAAAGTATCGATATTGATTTTATGTTGGGAGATTTCTCTCACATCGGAAAAGTAACAAAAAAAGTCCAACATATAATTAAGTGTACGGTGGGGTTCCCATGACATTGGAAACTCATGTCATGGGATGACCCGAGATTGCTCCGGTGTACCGTTCGTAAAGTTGACAGATCCTACCCTCTAACTCTCCCGGTAAACCCCCCACCTGCCCCAACTCGAACACATCCCCACCCCCTTCAATTGCATCTACAAATTAATTTTGACTTTGGAGTCAAATTGAATAAGGGGGTGGGGGTGTGTTCGAGTCGGGGCAGGTGAGAGGTTTATTGAGGAGTTAGGGGGGTATGAATCGTTAATTTTACGAACAAAACATCGAAACACCCCCAAGTCATCCCTTGACATTGTCGGACTAACTCTTAAGTGTTGGTATACTCTATTATCGCAAATTAGTTTTAGAATAGAATCTATATAAAGTTGTGTGTTGGGTCTATGGGTCTATCACAAATGCTTTTTCTAGGAAAGGAGTAGTACAAAAATTTAAAAAAGATATTTTACCCGTTCATGAAATAAAGCTACAGTTTAAATAAACTAATTTGATCATCCGTGACATACAAAACTTACTTATTAAACTTTATTTATTCATTCTTTAATATCACCCAATTTATTTTTAAACGCAACTTTAATCATGCCGAGTATATACTAAATTTAATATGGAGGAGTATAAAAATGGTGAACGTTAAAGCGTGATTTTGATACTCTTTTCGTTCTAAATTAGATTTCACAATCCAAAGAACGTGAAAATTTTGTGCTTTGAATTAAATTTAATATTATTTACAAGTTGGTATAGAACTTGAAATGTAATAAGTACAAGTTGGTGGCTGCAATGAAAAACAAGCATGCAAAGCATGAAACCTTTATAAGTGTCAAGCACAGAACCCCACGTTTACGTTAACAGACTAAAATTATAATTAGCGGTGGGTGTTGCGTAGTTGGCAAGGCAAGGTGTGCCAAGGGAGCAGGGCCCGAGTTCGATTCCTAGCAACTGTGATGAGAGGCAACTATGCTAAACATAAGACTTATACAAGTACTAGATACAGATTTCACTATTTGCCACCAATCTGCGATAATTAAAGTCTAATTTACTTCTTCTTAGAGATCGTCCGGTCGAGTACGAGGGGAGCCTCGGGGATGTGGCTCATCACCTTTTTTCTAAAACTATAATTATTGCTGTTCTCCCGGTTGTCATCTTTTTTATTTATTTTTAAAATAATCATTGAGTATTTAAAATGATAGGAAAAAAAGAGTGGTGCTTTTGGAGGGTCCAGTTTAGTTCATTCAACCCGCGAGTCGGTGTGTCTCTATTTGCCACGTGTGTGTCTCTGCATTTGGCAGTAAAAAACATGTAACGTCGAGAGAAAATCGAATAAAGTGGGAAAAAGAACGTAAGATATGCTTAAAAAATAAAAATAAAATTAAGGATTTTTTCCCTAAGTAATTTTTTTTATGAAAAAGCTAAGAGCCAAAGAAAAAAAGAAGATGGTAGAAAAAAGTGAACTTAGCCCGTTTTGCCCCTAGTTTTTAAATGAATAAGAGTGAAAGAAAAAAAAGAAGGGTCGTAAAAAAACGTGAACCAAGGCCGTTTTGCCCATAGTTTTCGAATGAAAAGAAGTGAAAGAAAAAAAAGATATGGCGGGTTTGACGAAGTCACGTAAGCGGGTGCGTTCGAGTAAATATAACATTTTCTTAACTTATAACCACAAATTTAATGTTCTCGTGCAAGTTTCGAGCAAAAACCTAAAAACTAAATGGTGAAAGTTTACATTCAAAAATAACAAATTTATAAGTTCTGTAATTTTTTTTATTTTTCCTTCTCCTAAAAATAAAATCAAAACAAATACCAGCAGTTACAATTTCTGACGAAAAAAAACCGAAAATGAAAACGTATTCAAATCCGGATTTTATGGCCACGTGTTCATGTGTCTTACGTGTTTATATTAATAAAGTAATGTAATGCCTACATTAAAAAAAATATCGAATAAAATGAATAAAAAAACGGAGTAAAACGTAACAGAGTAAAGGCATGAAGAAAAAGGATTATCAAAAAGAAAAAAACGTGAACTTTTAGACGGTTAGACATGTCAGAAACGGGCGTTTCCCTCGTCACAGATCCGGGTTTTACGGTTAAAGGGTCCCGGTTTTAGCGGTTAAAAACAAAACAAGATAGTATATTAAAAAAGGGTGTGGCCGGTTTTGTCAATGCTTAGTCAGTCGCACGTAAGGAGGCAGTGCATGACATAACACGTGTACCAAATATATTAAATACCCTCCCCATTCTTAAATTTTCTCTATTTTTCCGGTACTATCATATAACCCCTCCGTCCTAAAATTAACTTCTCAGTTTGACTTTCATAGTCAAATTTTTTAAACTTTGATCGTATATTATGGAAAAAATACATTGAATTTTCATATAAATTTATTAGCAATAGATTCATTTTGAAACATAGTTTTGAAATATATAATTTTTATAAAATATATTTATATAAAAATTGAGATATTGATGGTCAAAGTATCGCATTGGAGACCGTGAAAAGTCAAATGAGAAGTTAATTTTAGGACGGAGGGAGTATTTTTAATCTGGTTTTTAAAAAAGACGTTTTATATCATGTCTAATGCGTACAAGGAGTTATAGAGTATTACGGAGCACAAAAAATTAATATCATACACTGTCGCTGTCGAGATTCGGCCCAGTATCTAAGAGCTTGACTTCCTCTAAACACTTCTATGCCGCCTTGAATGCCAAAAAAACTTTCAAAATAACTTCTACCCACAATAAAGAAGAAATGTTGTAAATTTTAGGCATTTTAGATGTTGATAGAAGTGTTTTATGGAATGCACAAAAAATGAAACAGGAAAGACTTTTTGGGACGGAGGGAGTATATGTTACATCATACTCCTCCGTCCCAAAAAGATCTTCCTGTTTCATTTTTTGCGCGTCTCATAAAACACTTCTATCCCGCCTCAAATGCAAAAAAAACTTTCAAAACAACTTCTACTTACAATAAATGAGAAATGTGGTAAATTTTATGCATTTTAAATGTGTATAAAAGTGTTTTATAGGATTTGCAAAAAATGAAACAAGAAGATCTTTTTGGGGCGGAGGGAGTATAAATTTATGTGCCATAAAAAGAATAAAACATACTCCGTATTTAGTATGTTCAAGAAAACGTATGTACTTTCAAAGTTGAAAGATGAGTTTCGCAAAGAAGAGACGGCAAAAAATCAATAAACAACCCGACCCGACCCAACACATGAACCAACATTCACTATAGATCATAAATCAATCAAGTCAGAAAAGGAAATACTCCGTATATAGCTTAATTACACTTCTTCACAATTCATTCATGTCTTGTTCTTACACATTATGATATTTAACTATATTTAATAAAAGCATTATTAAATAAAGAAAACAATTAATTAAAGACAATACATATATTTAATTATCAGGTCCACACCATCCATCCATCGATCTCTTCAAGCCACCTTCCCTAGTTCTCTCTTCTTCAAGCGCTGCGGTTGTTACCCTCTCCCACGTTCCCTATACAAAAAAAAACATTTATTTTCACTTGAACTTTTATGATTTTCAATATAATACTTTAATCATTAATATCAATATAGGAGAAAGAGTTTTTGAGATGGCTATATGTTTAATATTTATTTTGATAAAATTTAAAGAAAGTTTTAAATAAGAAAAAATGTTGAAATTTGTGATAAAGAGATAATTGGTCTTCACATACCCAGTTAAAAAAAGCGTTAAAATGTAAAATGCGGGGCTTGAAATGTGAAAGAAACAAGTTGGGAACCACTCGCACTTTATTTTAAAAAATAAAGAAATAAATAACTAACACATGGGGAAAAAATTAAACAAATAAGAAAATGTAAACAAAGAAAGAAGCTAGGAAGAAGAAATGTGAACAAATTAAATTAATTTTACTTCCACGACGAGGGGCAGCATGATTTGGGTCCCTCCACTCCTCCTCGGAGTCACGCACTTCTCCCGAGAAGGAGCTTGAGCTCTCTCCTAGGGAGAAGTTCGCCGGAGAGGAAGAGGTTGGATCAGCACGGTCATCGTGATCAACGGGGGGAGGAGGGGAGGGAGGAAGAGGTTCGGAGTAATGAAGCTCCCCAAAGAGCTCAAGCACACTAGGGCGGCGGACGTTGGGGTTGGCCAGCTTCTCCCGCCTCTTCTTCTCGAAGACGGCCTTCTTCTCCTGGAGGGCCATCATCTCCATTATGTCCCCCAGGGAACAGATGCTGGAATTTGTGGCGCCAGCAGTAACACTATGCTGCTGGCGCTTGATCTCGAGGAAGACGGTCTGTTCCTGTAGGGAGAGGACTTCAAAGAACTCTTTCATGGTGTACACGTCTCTCTGTGACATTGTTTGTTGGTTTTGTTGTTTGGAATGGGGAGGGGAGCTTTTGGGTTGGGGTGAAGAAGCACTGTATGGGTGGGGTGGCATTTATAGCTAAGGGGAGACTGGAGAGGCTGAGCTAAATGACTCTATCTTTCCAAAAAAAAGAATCTAACCATTTTGAAAATAAAAATATGAAATTCAGGGTGTTAGACATTTAAGTAATCATATACTCCGTATAAAAATATATATAATGAATTGAAATATAAAGATTAAACTAAATTATTGGTTAATCGAAAAATATTTTTTATACATTTTTTCTAATATATTTTGATAGATATTGTTGATCAAATAGTTGGCTCAAAAACCAAATCAAATACTCTCCCCTTCTTGACTATTTGTTCACTTTTGACTTTTTCTGGTTAAAATTAGTAAATTTTGACCTCAAATTAGATAAAAATGGTATTAGATATTGATACAAAAATAATTTTAAATGATTTATTATATCAAATATTTTTAAAATATTATTTTATCTAATTGATATACAATATATATTTTATTTAGTTTTGGATGAAGTGTTGAAAATAATTTGCCTTTTGAATTTATCACATTGAGATAATTAATAATTTATCTAATAATTGATTTTAATGAGTACTCCATACTTAAATTTGAACCATTGACTTGTTAGAATATTTCTAACCATGCTTGTGGTATAAATTTATTACTCCATCCGTCCGGAAATATTCTTCCCATTTGACATTTTACGGTCTCCAATGTTGCACTTTGACCATTAATATCTAAATTTATACATAGATATATTTTATAAAAATTGATATTTGAAACTACGTTTCATTAGAAATATATTAATATTAAATTTATATCATAATACACTGTGTTTTTTCTATAAATTGTAGTCAAAGTTTACGAACTTTGACCTAGAAAAGTCAAATGTAAAGAATATTTTCGGACGGAGAGAGTATTTTTAAATTAGAGTAACTAAAGATCGAGTAATGTAGTAAGCACTTTTTTTGTTTCACTCTAAACAAAATTTGGTATTTCGTTTTCTAACAATTAACTTGCTAGAATTTGAGAAGTTTATTATCTTCAACAAGTAAAAGTTACTTATTGGTAAGTTTGCTACTCTCTCCATTTCGTAAAACACTTCATCATTCATTTTTATGTTTTTTCACCAAAACATTTTCATTTATATTAAAAAATCACTTTTATCCATAATTTTTCTTACCCTACATATCACATCATACTTTTTCACTATTAATCTATCCATTACATTTTACTTTTACCCATCATATCAATGGTAAAATTGGAAAATCTACTACAAATATACACTCTTTATATCTCCTAAAAGTCAAAATAGAAATTGTTTTATGAAACGAGTGAGTAAAATTTAACATATTCTTTAAAGAATAACAAAAGAGTTTGATTTATTACTCCCTTCATCCAACAATGTTCCTGTTGTGCGTTATAATGTTTGACTAAAGTTATTTTCAAATCATTTTATATGAAAAATTGTATGGAATTAAAAAATAAAAATTACATATTTAAAAACTAAATGAAAATATCTACAAAACTAGAGCTAACATATATGACTATATTATTTTATCAATTGTGTAACAAAAATATACCAACAAAGTAAATAAATATTGACCATGTGGATACTGAATAAGAACATTATTGTTGGACGGGAAGTATATTATAAGGAGTAATTTTATCAAGCCAATATTGTACGATTATACTCCCTCCGTCCCTAAATAAAGTTCTTCTTTCATTTTTTTTTGTCCCTAAATAAACTTCTCTTTTCCCTTAAAAAACCTCTTTTACCCCTTACTTTTTCATACCCTACCTATCACATCATACCTTTTTATTAATAATCTACCTATCACATCTTACTTTAACACATCACATCAAGGGTATTTTTGGAAAGTCAATACCAAAATATCCCTTCCTTAAATCCTAAAAAAGTCAAAAATGGAACTTTATTTAGGGACGGAGGGAGTATTATATTGGAGGCTCCCTTAAGTTTATATACGGAGTATATCAAATTATCAAATGTCTAAGTTTCTCATGGTTAGGTCAACAAGTCAACTATTGGTGGTGTAGCACAAAATCAAATGATTACATTTGACCAAGTCGTATAGCTGGAGTACATATTTGATCAGATTTCTAAAAAAATTAGCTACCCACCTTGATTAAATGGAGATTAAGATAATTGATGAATGTTTTAGTTAAAAATTGTAGATGTGAAGAAAATGGTGTGCTATATGTCTTTTTCTAAAATCAAAAGGAAAAAACTTTAAAAATCACCTTAAATAGGATTAAAAGATAGAGAAAGTATCAAAATAGAAGTTTCATATTTTTATTTCTCAAATAAGAGTTCGGTGGTAATGTGGCATTATAAATATGCATTTTACGTAATGTACATGGTAATGATTGGTAATGTATATACATTTTAATTCTTATTTTGAAAATAGAAACATGAAAATCCTACTTTAATCTTTTCCCCGTTTTTTAGAACAAAAAAATATTTTTGGATAAATAAAAAGGAAAAATGACTATACAACCATGTACTAAAAATGATATATTCAAAACAATCAAGATTTCGAGCTTGTTCTTTTTAATTTATTTTTTCAACTTATTATTCATTTTTATTAGAATTAAAAATTGATTTTAAATATAACTAAAATTAGAGTAAATTAGAACTTAATCGAATCAGATCAGATTAGATTGAATCAGATAATTATCCATACGTTAGATTTAAAAGGCATATGTTTGTGTCATTTTCAATTTGGATTGTACCCCTCCCATTATCGGTGGCGGACCCAGCAGGAATAATAGAGAGTAGATGGTGTCAATTTTAATAGTCCCTCCGTCCATATTTCGATTATAAAATTGGAATTACTATGAAAAACTAAATAATTTTGAAAATATTTTATTTACAAATTGGTACATCACTAAAAAATAAAAGTTAAACATTGAAAAACTACGTTCAGAGTTTTACAAAACAAAATGTGACAAGTATGTTTTATTTGACTCCGTATTAAATAATCAAAAAAATACATAAATAAACAAAAATTATCGAGAGGAGAGAGAAAATTATATTGTAATCAAAATGCGGACGGAAGGAATATACTATAAATGTTCCATATAAAAATTTATATGTAATTTTTTTATATATGTAATATACGTGTACAAAAATAAGACTTTCATTTTTTAAACCAATATAATTCTCTTTTATAATATTTCATCTCTAATTTTTTTACTTTTATGATCCACTGCTATCTTTTTTCTTATTTATTCACTTTAATTATACTCCGTAATTAATATAACTTTGATGTAGTTTGTGTTTCTCAAAATAAATTTTAATTTTTTATTTTTTTGTTGCAATATAAATTGAGGCATTTTTTCATGATAACAGTGGGGTTCTAGTGACACTGGAGTACGGGGCCACTAGCGATGCCACTGGGTTTTTGGAGCACCTCCGGTGCTCCATTCGCAAAATTTACGGTTCCTACCCCCCTAACCCACCCCCTAAACCCCCCACCCTAACCCCGCCCCTGCACCCCACCCCAACCCCGCCGTAAGCCCCCCACAAAATGTGTGGCTATTATGCGTTGCAGGGGCGGGGGTAGGGTGGGGGGTTTAGGGGGTGAGTTAGTGGGGGTAGGAACCGTCAATTTTGCGAACAGAGCACCAGAGGTGCCCCAAAACTCCAGTGGCACCGGAGTGGCACCGTACTCCAGTGTTATTAGAACCGTGCCGTGATAACAAATCATAAATATCACGACGAAAAGGATGGATACATTGTATTTAGAGAGTACTTAAATTTAAATTGAAAAATTCAGATAATTGCTAAAAGTGAGATTCAAACCCTTAACTTGTTCATAATAAATATAGGACGCTAAAAAATAGTGTATATATTTCTAACAGAAAAGAGAGACAATGTTGCTTCCGAAAAAGAAAAAAACCATCATCTGAATTACTCCCTCCGTCCCTAAATATATTTGCAACATTTGCTTTTTCAGCGTCGCGGGAACTTTTGTTTATTTCTACGTTTTCATTGGTTATTTGATAAAATAAAATATTCTTGATACCTCTTATTTCGAAAAACTTTTCATGTAGCTTTTTTATATGTAAATTTTATTTTTTATTTCTATATCAATTTGTAAATAAAATAAATTGAAAAAACTTGATATTTTGACTCGAAAATACAAGTGTGACAAATATTTAGGCACGGAGGGAGTACATCACAAGTGATGTGCATTCCCAATCACTGTACTATACGCAGTCTTGTTCTAATGATAATTTACGCTCGATACAGAATTTAATGGTGTCACTTTATTAGATCGTATGTAGGTCCCGCTTGAAATCTGAGTAACTCCGGCTGACCCCACTCTGACCAGTGTGGGTCCACCCTTGCCCATTACATAATTTATCAATTTATTTTACGTAAAGTAATGCAAATTTAAAAGTAATTTTGATTTTCAATTTATCCCTAAAATTATTTTGATTTGATGTAGATTTGAATAAAGCTTTGTTTTTTGGGTTGGAAGAAACTGGAACAAGTTGGAAAACGTTAAATAATTTAAGGGGCTGTTTGGCAACTTCTCAATAGGTAAGTGTTGAACCAGTAAGAGGTCCGAACCATTAAGTGCTGAACCAGTAAGAGGTCTGAACCATTAAGAGCTAGTATATTGCTTAACTATTCAGAGGCAAATGTCTGATCAATTCAGATAAGAAGTCTTAACCATTCAGACTCTGTATACTAGTTAATCATTCAGAGGCAAATCTCTTAACCATTCACATATCTGAACCATTAAGAGGCTGAAACAAACAGTCTGAATCATTAAGTGTTGAACCATTCAGACATCTGAACCATTAAAAGACCGAAACAAACAGCCCCTAAGTGTTAAAACGTCACCCAATTAAGTGATCACCAAAATACCTATATGCAAGAAAACTTTAATTTTGGATGAAAACTTTCATTTTTTCCACTTCTAACAAAACACTTCCCTTTTCTATTAAAAAACCACTTTTACCCTTACTTTTTCATACCCTACCTATCAAATCATACTTTTTCTCTAATAATCTATGCATCACATCTTACTTTTACCCATCACATCAGGAGCAAAACTGGAAATCAACTATAATTTAACACTTCCTTATTTTTGTCCCAAATCCAAATGGGAAGTGTTTTTCCAAACAGAGGGAGTATAATATTATGTTATATTCATAATATATAAATACATTTTTAAGTCATTGTTG